GTCCTGATAGTGATTCTATGCTACCATAATGGTTATCATGGTCTTTAACTCAAGACTGAATTTATTCCTTAGGATGTTAATGGGTAAATCCAGGCCTCTCCCCTACTACTGCCACTGGCCTCTTTACTGTGGAATCATTCTGCTGTTCAGGACGTGCTGGTTGTGGGCAAGACAGTGTCTGTACAGCAGCATGAAGGAAGTGAGAGGGGACAAAGCATAGGCAGTCTGAGGATAGAGTGAGTCCAGGAAAACTGTATCTGACTGGGGATGGAGTGTGAGTGCCCCTCACACATAATGTCACTCATTGGGCTGACGTAGATTCATGGAGCAATGCCAAAGTTACACTGTAACTGAAAGGAAAATTTATCCCCACCTGCCCGCTGTCCATCTGTCACGCTCTCTCAGGCCAGAGCAGAGTCTGGACTTTTTTAGCTAGATCTCTAAAATAATTTATTAATTACCTTTAATTATAATTACCAATGCTAATTAATTACCATTTATTATTTTACCATAGTTTTTGTTTTCCTGACCACGTATTAACTGACACTGAAACTTTTGTAATGGGAATAACAATAAAAATAATTCCACTGATTTTGGTGCCGCTAAGAAATAAACTAATCTAAATCAGGAGTACCAGAAATGGAATCCCAAGTGTGCAGAGAAAGCATAGAACACTTGGCTAAAATTTAATGTCACATGCATTTGTATTTTAGTAGTATGTTTGTTTACTTAACAATCAGAAACATACCCAGACAACAGACATAAATGAAACACCTGCTTTTGATGAACAATGAGCAGCAAGAATCACCACAGAAGCACATTTTTGGAAAAATCCTTCCTTCCCACAGATTTTATGCTAGATTCTCTTGCATACAAGACAGCCAGGGTTTTATAGTCATCTCTTATTTTCTCAGAATGCACTGCTCTTAAAGAAGGATTACAGACTTTTTTTACGTTGCATCATAGAAATGGGCACACACTTAACCAGAAGCATGTCAAGAACGGATGAATCAATTCAGCTAAAAACAAAAACATTCTTTCCTCGGTCACCATCACCACTAAAATTTCAATCACAATTTAAACTAAACCCTAATCTAATTTTTATTAGGGGCTGAAAAATGAGATTAATTTCCCATCACTCACCCGCAATTTTTATTTTCTGCATCTATATACTTCACTCAAGACAAAAACTGAAGGCAGCAGGGAAACATAGGCTGGTTGTGCAGTATTTCTGTTCCAAATGGAGACTTAATATCTTGCAGGATATTAAGGAAGCGTTGTGCTTTACATAGGAAAAACACCTTGCAAAGCTCACCATTGTTGGAAAGGGAGAGCATATCTCTGCTACAGCCTTTTAAAGGTGTGTAGCATACCCTTGCTCACATATATGTGCAGGGATGGGGAATGCCTATTCTCATTACACTTGAAGCCTAATTTTTCTAGTACCCACAGTTGGACAGTTCAGGTGAGGGTCAGCTAAGATAAGTGTGCACCTAGATCAAACCTCCTTTTGAACTTCAGCCAGTTCTATTTAGCTGGGGCAGTATACACTGTTAGAAGAGCACTAAAGTTTCAGAGTAAAGCCCTGCAACATCAGAAAATACCAAAGTTACAGCTGACCAACACAACTTGAGCTCAGCCCTCTCCTGAGTGCACATTCCAATGCGGTCCTACAGTGCAATTGCGCCTGAATAGCGGCGAGGAGTCCTGTGGCACCTTATAGATTAACCTCTGATACTTGCCCCTCATAGTCATTACTTCCCCAGGAAAGTGCAGGAAGCGTTGTGCTTTACATAGGAAAAACACCTTGCAAAGCTCACCATTGTTGGAAAGGGAGAGCATATCTCTGCTACAGCCTTTTAAAGGTGTGTAGCATACCCTTGCTCACATATATGTGCAGGGATGGGGAATATAACCCTATTTCCTCTTTTCCCTTCCCTTTTGAGGTAGCTAGTGCCTTTAGAGCTCTAGAAGGTAACAGTCATCTCTGTTGTTAAGGACAGTTGTTCCCAGCCACTCAAATGGCTGTGTCTAGACTGGCCAGTTTTTCCGGAAAATCAGCCGCTTTTCCGGAAAAGGTTGCCAGCTGTCTACACTGGCTCCTTGAACTTCCGCAAAAGCACTGACTTCCTACTGTAAGAAATCAGTGCTTCTTGCGGAAATACTATTCTGCTCCTGTTCAGGCAAAAGTCCCTTTTGCACAAAGCTTTTGCACAAAAGGGACAGTGTAGACAGCTCAGATTTGTTTTCCGCAAAAAAGCCCTGATCGCAAAAATGGTGATCGGGGCTTTTTTGCAGAAAAGCGCGTCTAGATTGGCACAGACGCTTTTCCGCAAAAAGTGCTTTTGCAGAAAAGCATCCATGCCAATCTAGACGCTCTGTTCCGAAAATGCTTTTAACGGAAAACTTTTCAATTAAAAGCATTTCCGGAAAATCATGTCACTCTAGACGCAGCCAAAGAGAACCATGAAGACTTTCTATACCTTCTCCTTCCCTTGTGCAGACATACAGAGGCCTGATAAAATCTACCCTTTAACTGGAAATAAATAAATAAGTGAACAAACAATACTTCTTGTTTCTATGAGGCTAAATATTTGCTGAGTGCATAGGAGACCCTAATAGCAGCATTCAGTGTTAACTATAGCTATAGTCCCTCCATTTTAATTCTTAATCACTTTTTCCTTGGGCCTGAAGCAAACATATTTTCTAACACAGTGGAACTCTGCTCCCTCTCACAGACAATGGAGTCTGCACCTCAGACAGGGGACAGAAAGAAAAATCTTCCACAGATCCTGCTGTGGGAGTTCCAACAGATTAAACAGATTAAAACAGACCTGTCAGACATCAAAATTAGTAGGGTTGCAAGGGATGTCAGTCAGGGGAGGATTCAGCCCACTGAACACAGACAGGACAAAACAAAACCCCATACAACACAGGCAAACAGCACCCAGTTTCCAGGAAAACAAAATCCTCAAATTAGATTTTTCCTGACAACATTTATTTCCCTTGTCCTGATTAAAATGAAAAATATCACATTCACCACTTTACCTTAATGAATGGGATCTGTGCATTATAATCCCATTGACATACTCATGATAACATCTGGGACTTAAAAATTACAGGCCAAGACCTCAGCTGGGGTAAATCAGCATCACTTTGTTGGCTTCAGGAGCTGAGCACTGGTTTATACCAACTGAGGATCTGTCCTCAGGAGCTGCATCTTTGAATACCTCTTCTCCCATTTTTTCATAATTTCCATTGGGTTTAAGGTGACTTTTCATTTCTAGCATATGTGGTTGAATGATTAGGAGAATTTGTATTTATTTTAAATCATGCCAAATGTAATGGAAAATGATGTTGCTATGATTTTGTTCAAGCTTGGTTCTGATTATTGATCTGAATCAGTAACTGCAGTAACACAATTATTTTTTATTTAATAAATATATTTGTATAATAAAGCAATAGTGTTGGCTGGAAATCACAGTTCTGTCTGAAAATTGTTTTCCTACTACTATTACAAGTAGCACCCAATATTAGGCTATGTCTACACTACAAAGAAACATCAGAAAAAGATACATAAATTGTGAACCACAATTTGCGTAACTTTTTCCACTTTTCTTCCAAAAGAGGCTTTTCCGACATTTGGCCCATTTACATGGGGCCAAATGTTAGGGGAAAAACCTCTTTCAGAACATTCCTTCTTCCTCATAAAATGAGGTTTACAGGGATGCTGAAAAAACGCATCTGCTTTTCAAAAAAAATTTTCAGAAAAGCAGACGTGTTCCTTGAACACGGTATCCTGGAAAAGCTCTGTAATCTAGATGTACCCTTAGTCTAACTAAAAGGGATTGTCAAAAAGAAAAAAGTTCATCTTCTTCATTTCTTTGTACATTTTACAGCACTATGTGCATAGTCAGTTTCACTGCTTCTCACCTATAATTATTTAAATGAAACTCCTTCTTCTTGTTGTTTGTGTGAATCAGTCACATAGCAGCGAGGGATACAGAAACATTTAAAAATAAAAAACAGAGTAGTGAAACCACAAAACCTGGCAGATTGTGAGACAGGTACCTGAAACTACTCTCTACCTTTTTTATAAACAGATTTCAAATTCATGATGTCCCTTTAATATAAATAATGTGCTAATGAAATAAGTATAAAATTGCAAGATTTATAAAAAAAAATTAATTTAAGAATACCATCTGTGTCACACTCAGCCTAACAATAAAATCATTTCAGAGCCAAAATATCATAGTGTGCTTCCAAGCACAAGTTATACATAAATGGAATTGACTAGGTTGTAGAATAAGATTGTGTTTGTTCAAATGAGGAATGAATGCCTGGGTTCAAATTTGGCTTAGATCACACAGGCAAGGATTATCATATGTGATTTAAACTAGTTGGGACTAAACATTTTTTCCATATGACAAAACCATCACACATATTGGTGCAGGAGGTAATCGCCACAAAAGGGAAATCCAGGAATGAAGGTAAAAAGTTTCTGAGGTCAGAAATGGGATATGTTCCAACAGCTCTTAGACAAATTATGTGGCTCTTAATTCTGTAATCCTCAAAGGGAGTTTAGTCTGAATAAGTAACACAGAATTTAATTCCGTGGTTGGAAGGCTTGATTAAAGCATACGTACGGCAAGAGAAGTTTAGATTCTTACTTCTTACTCTGAAGAATCATAACCAGAATCAAAACTTCTCCCTCTTTTGTGGAATAAGATCTCAAAGTACAGGACTGTCTGGGCATGATGTGGCAATATTTGTGTTGCAATACATTGTTGTTAGAACTTTTACAGAACATGAACTCACAAAAGTGCACAGACCAGACCCTCATATGGTGCAAATCAGTGTCCACTGACTTATACCAGCTGAAAATCTGAGAGCAAATCCTTTTCACCAACTATGTTACAATGGAGATTGGTTTAAATACCCATTCATCAGTAGAGCATATGCCCACAATATGGCCCATATTCTACAGCTGCTCTGCTCACCTATCTCTTCAAGGGAATATTTCTGCATCCTGAGCAGCTCTGGACTGAGACCCCATATCTAGTAATTTCTTCTCAAATACTGATTTTTTTTTTAAATCTTGTCTTAGGGACTGACAGTGATGCTCACGCACAATGGATCCCATCACAAAGGATGCTGAAGTGTTACTTGGAGACACAGAGCTTTTGAAATCCATATGGACAAGTCTGAAGAACATGGTAGCAGCCTATAAAAAAAATAGATAATTAGAGTTCATTCACAAGTATAACTTATAACAGTCAGTTCTGTAGTTTAAAAGTCATGCTCAAATGGAAATAATTGCGTTTTCACATTGAGGCCACATTAAAATGTCCACTAGTGGTAAAGGTTTTCCCCTATATTTTGATTAAACATTTAATTTTAAGAACATTAATATATAAAAAGTTAAAGTGCTTAATAAACATCCTGAAGCGTGGTGTGCTGTATTCATATTATGGAGGTATGAGCCTACTGCAAGCAACATTCAAATGCAATCAAAGAGGATCTGAGCTTAACTGAGCTCTCACATGACAGTTTGGATCATCTCAGATCCCTTCCAATGTAGATAAAATAGCATCAAAAGCAGAGAGGCTTTTTTCTTTCTTCCAAGGATGAAAACACAACATCATTAGTCAAATTTACTCTGAACTTCCGCCTCCTCATGTTGATTTGTACTCAGGTTGAGTAAACATATCTTTCCATCATGGTAAATAAATGTAAAAGCCTATCAGTAACTTAATTGCTTAACGAATGATGCAGTGTAGGGTGTAACATGCTTTTTTTTTTTTTTTTACTATAGCATTGAAGATAAAGATCTCTCGAAATGTCCTATTATATACCTTGGCAGTAAAAATCTAATCTTAGTTGAAACTTTACTTATAAAATTTCAACTCAGGAGAGTTTTCTTTTTCAGCTTTGAAATAAAATCACCATAGATAATTTTTAAGATGCAAAAATATAAAATTGTTTATTGATTGAGAAGACTTTCTCTTGTACTGTGCATCACAGAAAAATGAAATTTGACAAACGTGTTGTCTGTAATAAGGATGGATTGTATTTAGAGCATTAGAAACACCCTAAAATATAAAAATGACAAAGATTATTTCACATTGATTTTTTAGCTTGCAGATATCATGTGAAATTCTAACCTCACATGCATGGCAAACATCTAGACTCATCTGAGACCATCTACACTTTACTGTCCTGCCACGTCTTTAGGTTTGGATTGAGGGGATCCAAGGGAGGAGACAGCTGTTCTTCTTAAAATAAAGTAGTTCAATAGAGGAGTTGTGAAAAGAGCTTGAATGCATGATATGTATCTAAGGTCAAAATCTGGCTCCTGGTGGGCATGTGTATAGAGTGCCCATGCACAGCTTCCAGACTGACATGATAAAGGCTATAAAGGAACTGTAAAACTCTAACCAATTACAATCTAACCAATTACACAAATAGCACAATAGGCCAACACATCTTTACAGTTAATGCTTCTTCAAAAGCTATACAAGTGTCAAATTATGTATTTGTCTTATAAACTGTCATTTTATAAATAATAACATTAATAATTATTAATAATAACATAAGTAATAATTACTGACAGCCCATAATAAGAACATAAGAATGGCCAGACTGGGTCAGACCAAAGGTCCATCTAGCCCAGTATCCTGTCTTCTGACAGTGGCCAGTGCCAGATGCCCGAGAGGGAATGAACAGGCAATCATTGTGTGATCCATCCTTTGTTGCCTATTCCTAGCTTCTGGCAAACAAAAGCTAGGGACACCATAAATATAATAATAAATATAGAGCATCTTGAGAAATATTATGGGTATTGTGGGTATTGTGGCTTAATTATATATTCTTATACCAGCTTCTCTCAGAAACTAAAGGATAAACGTTCAGTCAGTAATTCTGTTGTCCATCTTGTTGAAGGCTTTCACCAGAATCTCATCTTGTTCAATCAGTTAGCAATGGTGAGGGTATGACATAGTTAGCCACATCTGCCACACCTAATGTTATCCAAAAAAACCTGAACTTTCCAGAAATGATTGTCCCTGACGGCAGGACCCTAAAGTTTATTGTCAGTTCTCTTGTCACTGACATGAGTGAATCAAGGATGTAGTATCAGACTATGGAGCAGTATCTTCCCCATCTGGTTCAGAGGGGTAGCCAAGATAGTCTGTAACAGGAAAAACATTAAAAATAACAAATAGACTAGTAGCACCTTAAATATCAACAAAACATTTATCTGGGTTAGAAATATGGAGCTATGACATGACCTTGACTCAACACTTGCATATACAAATTGTCCTTCCTCTCTCATTTGCCCATGCTAAACCAAAACCTAAACCTGTGAATGCAAATCTGGTAATTAGATACATTGTAAGTGCAAAAATTGCATTTGTTCAAATTGCATGTGCATCTGTTGTAACCTTCTAAAGCTACATCTATACTGTAGCCTTCTTGTGGAAAAGCATATGCAAATGAAGCGCAGCGTGAAATATCACTGGGCTTCATTTGTATGAATAATGAACAGCCGTTTTTGCGCAAAAGGCTTTTGCACAAAAACAGCTGTTCATTACTCATACAAATGAAGCACAGCAATATTACACGCCGTACTTCATTTGCATATGCTTTTCCACAAGAAGGCTACAGTTTAGACGTAGCCTAAGTGTGTGTCTAACATGAAATGAAAAGAAGCTTCAGAGGGTAGCCGAGTTAGTCTGTACAGGATAAACTTAAAAAACAACAAATAGTCTGGTAGCACTTTATAGACTAACAAAACATGTAGATGGTATCATGAACTTTCGTGGGCACAGCCCACTTCTTCAGATGACCGGAAGAAGTGGGCTGTGCCCACGAAAGCTCATGATACCACCTACATGTTTTGTTAGTCTATAAAGTGCTACCAGACTATTTGTTGTTTTTTAAGTTTATAAAATGAAAAGACTCTGTGGCAACTCCGCCAATGAAGATAAGTAATATCACTTGTTTTTAAAATTACATTCACTTGACATATGGAAGTCACAGTCCTTCTAGAGTGACTTTTGCTTAAAATAACTTTGTTAGCACCAACATAAATCAGTTTGGAGTTCCATAACCCTCATTAGGTTAGATGAAATGAGATACCCAGAAATTTCAGTGAAGCTGGATGCTACCTCCCTAATTCATGCTTATGTGACCAAAAAACCCAGTGTTTAACCTTGAATTATCTGGCTCAATCTGATTAAAACATGACCCATAACATTAACTAAAATGTGGCTTTATACTTTATTTCAAGTGACATGTAGTATCGGGGGAAATGGTGAAAAATATTTTTGATTTGGGGTTTTTTTGAGGGTTTTTTTGTTTTTGCTCCTGACATGTTATGTGACATGACAGACTATTGTATCATGCTCATCTGTTTCATTTAATGCATAATCCACATCTTTACTATGCTGTTTTGTGCAAGAAATATGCAAATGAGGCAACACGTGGAATATCGCCACCTCATTTGCATAATTCATGAGCGGCTGCTTTTTGCACAAGAGGCTTTTGCGCAGAAAGGAGCTGTCTACATGGCTCCTTTTTGCACAAAAAAACCCTTTTTGTGCAAGATCCTCATGCCTGTAAAATAGAGGCATAAGGATCTTGCGCAAAAAGGGGGGTTTGCACAAAAGGGACATGTCCATACTGCTTGATTTTGCGCAAAAACCTCTTGCGCAAAAAGGATCAGAATGGACTATGCAAATGAAGCACGCAAAGTTGCCAATGAGCATTTCATTTGCATTGCCTCTTCTGCAAAAAGTTTGTAGTGTAGACAAAGCCATAATGCTTTGTTCCCTGATTTCTAACTACTGTAGTTCTCACTTATCTCTCAGAAGAAGAATAGACAGAACAAATCTGATATATTTTAATTAGAGGTCAGAGATAAATTTCTAACATTAAATATTTGCCCCTCAAAACAACTGACCATCTTCTGCCTATGTAGATTTTACAGTACACACATTGACATTTATTTGATTCATATATGCTGTTCAATTGATGAAGGGCATACTTTGCTCAATAGTCTCTTCTTTTAGTATATCCAACACAGAGAAATACAATATCATATATTAGGAATTTGTCAGCATGCATTTCACCACTGGTTTCACATCTGAGTCTTGAGTAACTTTCTCCTAATATGGTGATAGAACATGCACTATTTAAATGAGTCCTTATTCTGAGCCTTATAAATATGCACCAGATGTATCTTTTGTAAATGTTATGTTTTTCAACATCTTAGCATTTGTGAGTAGTTGAAAGCTATGTCAGCCATGCTTTAATGGGGCATAAAAGTGTGTTGCATTCAAAGAAATGGCACACCATTGTAACAGGCAAAATTACAAGTGCTGTCATTGGCTACATTTTCACATTATCGATTTACACTGCTTAATATGGTGCTCTGTTTTTATGTGTGCGCATTTTTACTTGATGCCTATACATCCATATACATCAGTGAAAAATAACCAGATACAAAATGATAGCAATAGTAAATAAACTGTTTCCTGAAATTGTATCAGTGTGTTTATAGTAACTGCAAGGTCGCAATTAAGTGATCCAGTAGATGTCCAGAGTTTGCCCAGGGTCAGCTTCATCGCAGAAATCTGAATTTCCTTCACTAAATTTGGAATGGAATATATGCTAACAGTATGAGAGTGTGTGTGTGTGGGTGTGTGGGTGTGTACACTGTTGTCCTCTGCTGATTGGGATCAGAAGTATTTAGCCATATTCATAGACCCTATATTGCTAACAACTCCTGTTGCTTCCGTGGTAGCAGTCTGTACATTTGGAATAGCAGGATCTGACTTGTGTCCCCGCTAACATAGAGCTCAAGGTGATTATGCTGTTCAGCATAGTAAAAACTTGCATTGTCACCCATTTGAGACAATACAATGGTAGTTTGTTATAGGCCATATGTAGTATGATGTGGAAGGGGAGCACTTAACTGTGTATCAGTGGAAAGGAAGGCTTGTGGACTTGTGGAAGAAGCAGGGAGTGTGGTCAGAGTTACTTGTAGTTTGGAGATATATAGGCAATGTGCAGACTCTGTAGATCTCCATTCGTATCTATTTGTGCCCCTTGGCTTTGTGTTGTCCCTGGGCCTCACACTGGGGAGAGTTGATGCTGGGACAGTGGCTCCTCCAGTTGTATGTAGAGATGTAAAAGGCAGTGACTAGGGATGTAAACTGTTAA